AGAGAGAGAGAGAGAGAGAGAGAATGAGAGTGGATTTTTTAAATTTGATTTTTAAAATTCTTATACAATTTCAAGCAGAAACTTATATGAAATTTTGTCTTGCTCAGTAGTGTCAGGTATTTAAGAAAAACATTTACAAAAGTAAAGATCAGAGAGAATAAATTTTATTCTGAAGAGTAGTATTTGTCTATAATTATTAGTATTTAGAATGAACTTTTACGTTAGGGTTTTTAATTGAATTACATAGGCAATGGTAACTTAATGGTTAAGTATTTCTCATATTGAGCATAGGAATGTGACTCTATTACAGATGTTTCAAGTCTTTGCAATCTGTTCTGATCTCTGCTTGCAGGGTGGAGTTCCACCACAGCCACGAGCCGCGCATACGTGTGCAGTTCTTGGAAATAAAGGTTATATCTTTGGCGGACGTGTTTTGGTTAGTGTTTTTAATGGAAATGGCATTTTTATGTGTAATGCTTTTTATAAAAATTTGTCCTTTGATTTTGTGGAATAATTGAATATTCAAATAATCTAGAGATTAAAATGACATTCAATAATAACTTTTATTATCCTCTGTTTCCAAAACAGACCATACACAATCACAGATGATTATAAGCCATATTTTAATGAGGAGAATTGTTCACTTCACTGTAGTATCAGAAAAGTTTAATTTCTCATAATCTAAATCCTGTAGTTTAAACCCATTTCTTCCTTTCCCCTTTGATACATTGATTTGGGAGCTTTATATTAATTTTATTAATGATTAGTATTATTTTCCAATATTTAAACTTTGGATGTTAAATAAAATCCAGATAGTCTATTTTTAATCTGAATGTATTTTAAAACCAAAATTTTAGCCCATAAAACATGTAAAACACTGACCAATTTAACACATTTTTATTTTAGCAAACTAGGATGAATGATTTGCACTATCTAAACTTAGATACCTGGACTTGGTCTGGAAGGTAAGTTTCAAGTCTAAGTATGTTTTACTCTACAGGGGTGTGTGTGTGTGTGTGTGTGTGTGTGTGTGTGTGTGTGTGTGTGTGTCTGTTCATAATCCAAATTTTGGTCCATGAAACTGAACTGGTATTTTTTCTCCCCTCAGATTGTATGTCTAAGCAAGGAATATACAAATTTAAATAGAGTTTTTTCTTTAACCAAGCTATATAAAATATGAAAATACTAGTGGTTGTAAATCGATTAGTAAAAGTACTGGGTTTTTTTTTTTTTTGAGACAGACCCTCACTCTGTTGCCCTGGCTAGAGTGAGTGCCGTGGCGTTAGCCTAGCTCACAGCAACCTCAGACTCCTGGGCTTAAGCGATCCTCCTGCCTCAGCCTCCCGAGTAGCTGGAACTACAGGCACGCACCACCGTGCCCGGCTAATTTTTTCTATTTTCAGTTGTTTGGCTGATTTCTTTCTATTTATAGTAGAGACAGGGTCTTGCTCTTGCCTAGTCTTGAACTCCTGAGCTCAAGCGATCCTCCCATCTCGGCCTCCCAGAGTGCTAGGATTACAGGCGTGAGCCACCGTGCCCGGCCAAAGTAGTGGTTTTATACCAAGTATTCTTTGAGGACTGATCAGTAGAAGAAATGAGGGAATGGTTGAATGGGATCATCTTAAGTGAACAAATAATGGAGTACGTAAAAGTCAGATTTTACTTATGACTAATAATATATATTTAATAATAGAATAAATATATTTAGCTATCAACTCAGCCTTTCATGTAATGAGATGGAATCAGAGCTATATATTATTCCAAAGTATAAATGCCAGTAAAAATAAAACCATGAAAGTACCAGAAGAAAACATAGCAGATTATTTTTAAAATCTCGACATGGAAAAAGCCTTTATAAAAATGATATAAACCCGAAATTCATAAATGAAAAGACTGATTAATAGGACCACTTAAAATTTAAATATTTCTCTGCACAAAAGCATACCACAAAAAGTTAAAGGGCAAATTGTAAAGTACAAACAAAAAACAAACTAGAAGTAATATTTGCAATATTTTTAACAGAGAGAGGTCAGGGCAAAGATCTATAAGAACTCAGAAAACCAGTAAGAAAAAGACAATAACCCAA